TACAAAAACCAGGCTGTGTGTGTATATAGTCTCAATCTTCCAGCTGGAGGGAAAAGGGTGAATAGTTAAAAGTGGAATCGGTTTCATTTGTCTTTGCTTTGATTAAATAAGCCTTTTTTTCTTTTTTCTTTTGCATTAGACCTAATTCTTGTTCATTAACATGTTTGTGAGCCAGGTTTTATTAAAGCAAAATTAATCAAGCTTTGACTAATGACTTTGTTGTGTTTGCAAATTAGCCAAGAAAACTTATCATCCAGTGTTCGTGACCTAATCAGTTTTAAACAGAGGAAGTTTATAAAGCGTTTTGATTAAATAAAGAGACTGTGGAGTGGCACAGATAGCAAAAGCTAACTGCTTTGGTTCTGGATGCCTGTTGGATTAGTGAGTAAATGTTCATCAGCTGCAGCGTAACCCATTATTTCCCACAGACCTTCTGGAACAAACATGTGACTGGAAACAAAACACTGATGCAGACTGCTACGCCACTCTGCAACCAATTCTTTTTTGCCCTGCATGATAAAAAAAAACAAAGATTTGAAACTGATGTAAAACCAGTATTTGTAAATCTGCAGATAAAGGCCAAATTTTACCAAACACCATAAGAGAATGTAAACCTCGATCAGCATGCAGAGAAACTCAAATATGTCATTAACAAGGATGGACTCGTGCAAACTTTTAATGAAAGATGGGCGAGGCTCAAGCAAGCATCTGCACCAAGGAAATTCTATTTCTATTATTTCATGTCACAACACTCAAAAGCTCTTTGTTATCGGAGGAGTTATTAGCTCTGCAAATTAACATGACTGCTCTGGCAAACCCGCAGGGGCTCAGTGAATATGAGGAACCCAAAGAAAGAGAGGAAGGGGGTAATAAAGCTGAGCAGGAGGAGGAGAGGATGAACAAAATCTCGATAGAATTTTTTAAAAATGGGGAAGGGGAGTCTTTTTAGAGGCCGCACAGTTGCACAAAGTACTGTACGGGCCTCGTCTGTTGCACAATCGCCAAAGATGCTCAGTCAAACGTGATGCCAAATGGAAAACAGCCCAGAACTCATGTAACTATGACAGCAACTACCTCATTATGGGTGGAATTCGCTGTAATTAACGATGGCAAAAATGGGAAACGATTTAAGCATTAATGATGGCGACGCAAAAATTAGAAATAATCTGAGTGGGTTAGCAGTGTAACGGAATTGTACAGCAGATACATATCATTAGAATGAACTCCGAAGGGAAATTCAAAGAAAGCATTAACAAAAACAGGCTTTGATTTATGTGAAGAGCAAAGAAGCTCCCTTTTGCTCACAGCGCCCATTTAACACCACCACAATGACTCATCTCACAGCCTGGTGTTTTTCACTGCATATCTTAGTAACAGCAGCATGTGCTTGTGACCTCCGATTTGCCTCTGAGCAGAAAGAGTTGACTAAAAAGTGAGTGGGAAGGGGGGCTGGGGAGAAGTTATCCGACTCTGATATTTTTCTGTCCTCGACTGACAAGCTGCTGTATCCGAGAGTGCTAAAACACCACCGCTGGGCCTGTTTCAGCGTTCACAGGTCCTTCCTCCTCTCAGGATGCAGGATGTGGGGGTCACAGCAAATAAAGTTCACCACAGTGGTCTGCCACTGGTGTGATGTTCTACAGACAGCCCCGTTCAGATGGGGTAGGAATGGGCATCATTAAAGAAACACCAAGATACAACCCAAGTGTTTACGTGGCTAAACACTTAGGGACTTTAAAGCAACACTAAAGAATTTTTAACACTTTAAGCTATTGCTTTCAAAATGGTTTTGGTGGTTTTTGAGCTAGAAACTTGAGCTACTTCACATTGGACAGCACTGTAGCCCTCTGTTGACCAGAAAATACACGAGAGCAAGTCACCCCCAAATCAACTTTATTTTGTGCTGATAAACTACATAAATGTCTGATTGTGCTGTAGACACATATATAGTCAATAATTTGGCACTTTAGTGCATCTTAAATATTCTGCCTAAAACTGTCATTGTGCCGCCTTCAGGTAAAAACTCTGCACTACATTTGAATTTAAATCTGCCATCGCTATTGGCTAAGAGGTACACTATGATGTGAGCTGGTACATTATGATGTCACAATGTTGTGAGCCTGTGTGAGTGAGTGCATTTGTTAGCATCTCCGCCATCTCAGCCTGTTAGGCAACGACATTTGTTGCATTTTTCAAACAGGAAGTGGGAGGGGAGTAAGACTCTGGTAGGGGGTGACTTGCTCCTAAACAGTTTATTAGTTTGAGTAGGAGCCTTGATATAAAGGAAATAAATTAGCTAATTCACTTTTTTTTAACGGGGCAGGCTTTGAAACAAGCTTGCGCACCTTGAGAGTAAACATCACGGCTCGAAAGTTCATTTACATCCATCTGTGTCACATCACGTGATCAGGAAGCAGATAATCCATGAATTAGGAGATTGTTTTGAGCCGCCATTATGCCTAAAGCAGGGCGCTAACCGGAAAAGCTTCTGCAGCTCACACTTCCAACAACTGATTGTGAAAGAATGGAAAAAGCTAGAAACACGCCGATTCTTACGGTTGTAAGGAGTAAGTCTACTCAGTCTTTTGGAAGTTTTTACGACAGTTGCAATTCCTTTTTTTTTTCTTTTTTTTTTTTTTGCAATTCCACTTTCAACCAGTAGGAGGGAGAAGCAGGAAACTTGAGTTGCTTTAAAAGTGCAAAAGTTAACCAGTTAGATTTTAAATGGCTCTTTGGGAATCAGAATAGCTGATTACATATGTTTGAGACATTATTTTGTTTTATAACTAAAAAAATAAATACAAATAAATAAAATTGAGTACTTCTGATTCAGCCCTGGGACCTGATGGCCATCACTAAACATTCACATTTAATAATTTAGTTAATACTTGTAATATATTATAATATGGCTCTAAAATCTAAAATTAACTTCTCCTGTTCATTTAATTTTTTATGTTAGTTGTTTTTTATGGCAAAAACTTCTAGCCAACTTTCTTTAGAGTCTGCCGGTGTTATACTAATAAAAGGAGCTGTTGTGGGAAGACATCAGCAACAGGGCAGTGTCAAAGGTCAAGGGTTTAAATGTTTCCACATGTGCCTGCCTCGTAATCAGCTGTTCAGAAAATCAGCCAAAGTTGTTGGACTACTCTGGTGAAGAAAAGACGTCCTGAATGAAGTTAGAGTTATAAATAATCACGCTTCAAAAACAGTGACGTAACTTTTGGGCCTGGCTTGTATCGAGTGTTGATGACCTGCTCCACATCAGCACCAAGGTGAATTTAGAGCGCGCTGACAGGAGGTTCATGAGTTTCCATAAAAGAAAAAAAAAAGTGAAAAGATTTGTGATGAAGATCTGGCTCAAAGGAAGAACACTCGGGCCAACGTTTACTCCGTTGGATGAACTAAATCTCCTGTTTTAACACAAAACTTGACTATTTAAAAGGCATTCAAACAGAAAAAACGGATATATAACGAGATTTAAGGTGATTTTTCTAAACAGATTTTCAATCGTTGGCAACAAATAACAAAAATTCATAAAACCCCTCAAGTATGTCTTGTTTATGGAAAAAATGAGGTAAGAAGGGAAATAAAACACTTTCCAAAATAGCATCTTCAGCTGAGCACTACAGGACTGTTAGAATTAAGAGGATCTGAAAGCCGTTTTCTCTAACTTGGCGTAAACAGACAGAATTAGCTCCTCACCCAGCTCACAGTTTCTGTTATTTGGGTTATTTATGGAAGAGAATCCTTCAAATAAACCTGCAGGTTAGATCGAAGTAGCTCTAGAAATCCTCATTTGCCACGACTCAACACACAACCATGCTTCGTGACATCCTGTTTATGTTGGGTCAGACTGGATCGTGCACTTGTCCATGTTCTTTTAGAGCAACTTTCCAAATGAATCGCTCCAACAGGCTTTTTCTTTTTCTTTAAATCAGAGGGACTTAGAGAATATCTGAATATAAAATGGGAGCTTTAGCCGACGGACAATGCACAAAGGTTGATTGCTATGCAGAGTAATATCCTCTGTGAGACAGTGAATGAGGGTCTGTGGGGAATTAGTTCACAGGGCATCTGCTATGAAACTCACAATTCAGTGAACTTCTCTCTCTCTGCATGAAGAGCCACTGAAGTCACACAAAGGAACAGCTCCAAATTAGGAGCACAAAGGCGCTTCTGTGGGAGCTTCAGAGTGAATTAATGAGCATTGATACACTTTCTCACAGCGTTCTTGCAGAGCCTCGGCTGCACTGTGGCAATCAGAGGAAAGAAAACAGCATTCTGGTTTAAGGAGAGCTCAAAATATAAACATTTTATTTTACAGGTTTTGTAATGCAAAATAAGAGTTTTAGTGTGCTGATTGACTGCTTTTGAAGTTTTTCCTTCCTTGAATGTCCTGCACCCAGATGGTAAACATTTGGAAGTCATTTAAAGATGAGACAGCCTCAGCTCTGCACTTCAAAATGCTTTTACAAGCGGACACAGCATGCAGCCTTCAGCCAGGAGCAAACCTGCCTTCTAATCATTCTTCACCAGAACTGTTTATTAGGGAACTGTAACCTTCCGCGTGACCAATCCCTTCTGATCAATGGGTGCTGATTATAAAGGGCGTAGCCAAGTTGGCGATAAGTTTCCCGAAAGATGTGTGTTTTCCTGACCCTTCCTTGGGGGTGGGTTAGTGAAGGCAGCAGCAAGCTGACCTGGACTTAACACCTCCGAAGAGTCTTCAGGAGGAATCCCCATAATCTCCCTAATCGCTCTCCTCCGGTTGCAGCAGAAGGCTGTTCTGACTCAAACCGGGTCAGGTAAACAGTCAGCTTCTGGGGGAATACACAGAGTTCACCCCGGTCAAACCCAAAAAGGCGCACCCTGAAACTCAAGTTGTCTGGGCGGCGTCCGCTCGGTCATCATCACCAGAAAACAAAGAAAAAAATAATAACGGGACTCTGGCTTGCTTCAATAGTTTTAGCAGAATGAGATGGGTTTGTTGGCGGACTTACCCATCGTGGAGGTTTCTCACCGCGCACGGATCAGAGAGACGAGCAGAAAGTTGAGCTCCAAACTACTCACGGACCGGGACGCACACTGACTGGACTGAGCGCTGCTCCGACTCACTGCGTCCCTACGGCGGCAGCGTGGTGACGTCACAACGGAGGCAGGCCCCTCCTCACTCAGCTCTTCATCAACAACTTATCAGTGTCTACGAGTCTGGTCTGGCCGGTCATCTGTATCTAACTCACATATTAGTTTCACATTATAAGTAGAATTAATTAACTTTTGCTTGATATTCAGATTACTTTCGAGATCTTCAAGCACCCATGAGTGCAGATTAGCTACATAGAAGCACAATGTCCAGATGGAGATGCTGTCTGAAGTTCATCAGAGCCTTAATGCAGGTAACAAAAACTCCAGAGTCCCAACAAACATGAACAGATCACAAGTTAACTTAATCAGATTTAAATACAACAGCGGCGAAGGGGGAGAAAGGGGACAAGGTGTGCTGATTGTCGATTACTGACAGGTGAGACAGGGACAGTGGACAGATGCTGACACATGCAGCTGGGACGTATTTAAAGCAGAAACACAAGGGGATGAGAGCCTGAAAACTAAAGGAAACGATAATAAAATAAAGGATAACTGACGGGCTGGAAAATAAATAAATGTGAAAATAAATAGAAATGCTGGGGGAGTAGGAGCTGGAAGAACAAAACTTAAACTGCAGGGGAAAAACAAAAGAGCAGTCAGGACATGGCAGATGCACTGTAAATTCACATTCAATAAGACCACTGGAACAGCACGAAATAATAAAAAAAAACAATAAGAAAACATCACAAGACCAGTTACAACGACCCTGGCAACACTTTTGATAATGTCTGAAAATTCAGATTTTAAGAAAAGAAGAAGAAACAATATTTTCTTTAGAGATTAATCACGAGGCGCTTCACAAGAACATGTTTTAATTTATTAAATAAAAAGAATAAATAATAGATTTTAAAAAATGATCTTAAAAATATCGTAAAAATTTGAAACATTCATTAATTGTGATTACAAATATGTGAAAGGGAGAGAAAATGGATAAGAAAGAGGTCATCAGTGGATCCTGGGAAATGTGGAATTGGTAGAAAGAGCTGAATGAAGAGAAGGTGGTGATGAAGGTCACACCAAAGCCTGAACAGGTGAGTTTTCAGCTGATTTTAAAGGAGACCACTGAGTCCACTGATCTCAGGCTCAAGGGGAGAGAGTTCCAGAGTCTGGGGGCCGCAGCAGCAAAGGATCTGTCACCTTTGGTTTCCTGGCACTGGTTTCCATCATTGGTGTCGAGACTACACTGTGGGTCGCCAAGATTTACACGGGGTCTTGATTAGCCTAGAAATCTATACAGACCAAACCAGAAGGTAACACATTTAGCTTTGCATGTTGGTCTAGCCACGCTCAATTTGAACGTCAGCAGGCCCAGACAGTCTAGTGTATTGCCAATCACTGCGCTCTATCACTTTGGTGGGCCAATCACAGCGCTCCATTGCTTTGGTGGGCCAATCACAGTGCTGCATCGATGTGGTTGGCCAATCATAGCGCTCAATCAATGTGGTGAGCCAATCACAGCACTCTATGGGTGTGGTGGACAAATCACAGCGCTCTGTCAGTGTGGTGGACAAATCACAGCGCTCTGTCGGTGTGGTGGGCCAATCACAGCACTCTATCGGTGTGGTGGGCCAATCACAGCACTCGGTCGGTGTGGTGGGCCAATCACAGCACTCGGTCGGTGTGGTGGGCCAATCACAGCACTCTTTCAGGGTGGTGGGCCAAGCACAGCACTCCATCGGTGTGGTGGGCCACTCATCATTTTTGGTGGGTAAATCAATGCACTTTATTGGTTTAGTGGGCAAGATGATGTTGTGACTGAGCAAAAACAAAGATGGCTCACTTGAAACAGCTTTGGCATCAACTTTGGACTATTTAGATTTGGGCTTTGAGTGAAGAGCAGATACTTCAGTCCTTAAGTCTTAAGTTTCATGACGCAACATCAACATAACAAACCCTAGAGTGAATGAACAAACATCTTGTCTTGTGATTCATGTTAAGATCTTTTTACTTTTTGTATGCACCTATTTGTCTCTTTCTTACGCTATTTTCTGTTTGCAACTATAATAAACAAAGAAAAAGTTAAAATGAGTTCAATGGAAATTCTCTAACTTTACAACTTCTGAAGTTAAAACAGACAAAGTATGACACAAATATGTTTGCACCTGTTTTCATGACATATTCAGAAACTCTACATTAAATTAGTTGAAACAATGTGGTCTATCATTGTCCTTTCTTTAATTAATGTGTTTTTGGTGGTCAGAGACCTCCATTAAAGGGGCGGAGTCACTTGTTGAGTGCAGCAGGTGTGTGTGTGTGTGTGTGTGTGTGTGTGTGTGTGTGTGTGTGTGTGTGTGTGTGAAAAGAGAATCTGCATGGGAACCTTCCAGCAATGTGCTGGCTGCTGCAGCAGCTGGCAGACAACAGGCATGTGCTTTTCAAGTGAGTCATTGAAAACCAGAACTCATCAAACAAAGCAGTTTAATCTCATGTTATTCTTTAGGTACATAAAAAACCCACTCAGGAGGGAACGTCACACATTGTTGTCTAACAATTACTGTCCAATGATGAATATTTTTATTCATGCAACGCATGCTAGTATCTGATTATAAATAATGGATGGTTGTGGATGGTTATGAATGAACAAGAAAACTGAAATACCCAACAATGTAAAAGCGAGTTTGAAACGTGTCTATTTATGTACATCAGAAAAAACAATTCAGCAGAAAATAAATAAACCAGAGATACAAAAGGTTTTAAAAGCAAGGTGATCTTTTTTTTTTATTACTTAAGAAATGACAACTGTTTATTCCTGTTATGACCATTTGGATGACTGCATAAACCACAACATTGGTCTAAAAATCCGCTATGTTTTATTTTTACTATGATTTATTTCACTGCAGCTGAAATAGCTAAAATTGATATTTTCTAAACAGAAATTTATGTGTTTCATATAATATAATGCAATAAATGAATCAAGAAAATGCTACCAAGCTAGTGTACCGGTATGTTACAATACTAGTTTCATGCACTGTAATGATGCTGTGCTGCCATCTAGCGGACAGAAAAATAATCCCCAAAATAGAAAGCTATAAATAATAATAATACATTATTATTATTATTATTATTATATTATTATTATTATTGTTGTTGTTGTTGTTGTTGCTGTTGTAATTTATAATAATAATAATATTAATATATTTTATTATTTGTTATTTTTTGTTAGTTAATAGTCTAAATATATAAAATTTGAGCAAAAGAAATCCTTCTTGGAGTCATCATGTTTACTAATATTCATGAAAACATGAATTTCTACCATCAATCTAACCAAGAAATAAAAGAACAATAAGTTCAAAGGGACATTCAGTTTTGCAAACCTTTCCAACCAAACTGAAAATGTAATGGTTCAGCAACATCTCAACCTGTCAGCCATTGAGTTTTTGTTGAATATTAAGAAAAAATAATTCATGGTCTGTTTTTTTTCTCCAAGTGTTCTGATTTCTGAGAGAGTTTATTTATCACACAGATGGAACTTAAGCAACAAATAGATCTGCTGCGGATTGTCCTCTTCCTCTACTCATGCCAGCATGTTAACAGAAAAATGGTTTAAATTTTAATAGTAGTGTGTATACAAGACTTAAATGAACAGAGGCGGTGGTCTTAGTTCACTTTTTAGGACTTTAGACTCTTTTAATCTTGCGTAAAAATGTTTTCTTGTCCTTGTTTCTCCAGATGTGTTTTGTGGCTGATGCAACGTGACAAATTTTCATATCTGTCAGTTTGTTGGACCTGTTTGAATCCTCAAGCCTTGCTTGTCAATTTATCTTTTTGTGTTTTGATGATCATTTATAGTTAAAATTTTTGACATTACAAATGACTGCTAATTAGAGCCATTCTCATAGCAGACATTCAAACCTCCACCATCGATGTCATAAATTGCATTAATGTGAGGAACATTTCACTTCTGCCAGACTTTTCTTATGTCACTTGACAGACTGAGCGGTTTGCTCAGATTTACTTGAGAGAAACTTGTTGAACAGCAGGAAGCTTGAATCATATCACCTCCCAGCAGCTGCAGCCTTGCTGATTTCCTCAGTCAGGTGGGAAATTATATTTTAAATGATTTCAAGCAATAAGAACATGCATTTTTATTGATACATGATGGACAAAGTAAAATAAATCTTAAATAAATGACAAAAGTACTAATTCTGAATAATAAACAATGGCTGAGCAAAAATAGATAAATTAAATTAAATTAAATTAAATTAAATTAAATTAAATTATTTTATTTTATTTTGATTAAATCATTAAATTAAAACATGTGACCAAAATCAACCAAATAACCTAAGGAAACAAAATTCAACAAGTCAGGTTTTAAAAAGTCACAAGGTTCTGAGTTTGCAGTTAAAATCCTCAACAACCAACAGACCAAATGTTTCTATAATAAAACTACATTTGTAGAGTTTTCTTTGTCTTTTAACACAAGGTCAGAAAATATAGAATAAAACATTTGAAATGCTTTCTAAATGGATATAGCAGGTGGACTGATACATTCTCAAGTAAAAATGTAAATTTGCTGAATATTTGCAACACGACCCAAAGGAAAACTTAACATGAAACCTTCCAGTGTAATAAAAATGGTTTTATTGGATTTTTTTACAGCTGCTTCAGAGAAATTTATTGGCAGCTTTTTACAGAGAACCACCTGCTGCCAAACTAAATTGAATATTTGAATAATGTATTACTTTTGTATCTTTTATTATCGTTGCTGATTGTTTTCTCCTCTGGAAGTGAAACAATGAGAAGTTTATTTCAGCCACCTTTAAAAACATGAAGAACATGTCCGCTCTCAGCGCTTCATCAACCGACGTAACAAGAGAAAAAATGAAATTTGCGTTTAAAAACTACACAGTTGGGAGTTTGACATTAAAATACCGCATCTTTTCCCTTGTCTGTCATTTGAGTAAGTAAAAGAAGAATACCTCTGATGTCTTTTTTTATCTGTTTATGGATTCGAAATGTTGATTTATTTTGTTTGGTTTTATTACAACAAACAGGAAATGAGTCACAGTG